CGGCGGGGCCTCGACTGGGTCAGGGTGTGGGGTCCCGGGCTCGAAACCGAAGCGAGATGGACGAGAACGTCTCTCCTGCAGGGCCCGGAGAGAGCCCCGTGCTGGCACGTGCCTGGCTTCGCCCGCTGCAGGGCGTGTCTCCAGCCTCTGCCAAGCCTCGGGTCACACCGGGGAAGCCTGGCCTACGCGGCTTTCTCCACTGGGCATGCGGGACCCCGACGTCCGTCAGCCTTCTCCATCCTCTCCCGAGCAGTCCCCCCCGCCGACACCTCTGTCCCTCCTCCGACACCCCATGCACACAGCGAGGGCCAGGAAACGCTGAGCACCAGAGTGACCCCAGGGCGGCCGGAACGGGGGAGCCCTGGGCAGGGGGCCGAGAACACGGGATGCTGAGAGGAGCCCCGTCTGTGTCCGCAGCTCGGGTCAGAGCCCGTGGCTCGCGGCGACTGGTACTGATCTCAGAACCACCGTGAAGTGACGAGAGTCCGGCCGCAGCCTCCGCAGAACGAGCGAGGGGGGAGCGAGACGGGGAGGAGGCGCGAGGACCGCCACAGGTAGGATGTGAAGGACAGAGACACACAGAAAATGTAAGCAGAAGCAACAGAGGCATTTATGGAACCCTCTAGAAGAGAGCAAGGCGTCTGAATCTACCTGGAAAATCCTACTGACTACCTGGAAGAAACAGAACATGATTTTTCTGCATTTACCTGGGAAAAACAACACACGCAGTCGATGAACTCGGGCGAACTTTCAGACACTGTGGAGGAAGAGGTGAAGGGAGAGGTGAACGGAGAAGTGGGAGACAGCTGAGAGGGACGGGGGGGGGGGCAGGCCAGAACAGGTTATGCCGTGGACCACGGGCACCCGGGCAAGTTCCCTGCCGGAGTCCGACCGACCGCAGAGAAGAGAGGAGGCAGGAGGCGGGACTCCCAGGGCCAGGCTCCTAATTGCTATGGCAACACAACCCTTCTCACAGTGATAAAAGGAAGTGTAGGCAAGCGCCATTTGCTATTCTGGGGAGAAAGAACCCCCTGCGGGCTCCTTTGGAAGAGTTCTGGGGAGAGTGTGGGAGTGACCGCGGAGGAAAGGTCTTGGGTGCGAGGGCGCTAATGCAGGTACATGGGAGCGACTGCCGGTCAGCTGGCCTCGGTCAGCTCGCCGGGAGCTGGGCACCGCTGAGATGCTGCTGGGCACCCAGGGTCACCTTCTGGTCAATGTCACTCAGTAGAAACCGAGTGCTCTGGGCGTCCCATGGTGCCGTCATGTGCAGAAGGAAGCACGGTCTCTACGCTGCGACCCAACCGTTTGGGGCTTTTTTAAGGCCTCATTTGTAGCCGCCGGTTTCCACCGTCTCCCACGTGGCCGCTCCAGCCGCAGCGGGGCGCCCTCCTGGGGGAGCTGGGTGGAGATGGGCGGGCGGCCCCGTGTGGGCTGGCTCCTGCTCAGAGGGGCAGTGTGGACTCGCCACTGGTCTGGGGCCACCCAGGCTGACTTCATTTTGATCCTCAGCGGATATGTTTTTATTGATTTTAGAGGATGAGGAAGGAAGAGACAGAGAGAGAGGGGGAAACATCGATCAGTTGCCTCCTGTACACACCCCGATCAGGGATAGAACCTGCAAACTTTTGTGTACAGGACGATGCTTTAACCAGCTGAGCCCCCGCCCGGGCTCACACAGCCCAACTCCATCAGCCTCTCAGGAGGGTCTCTGCAGCCAGGTCTGGAGAGCCTAGTGCCTCGGCTTCCCTGCAAACCCCCTGGGTGAGGATCTTGTCAAAATGCGGCTCGGACTCAGCGGTGCTCGGGCCCCAGCAGGGGACATGGGTGGCACAGAGCCACACGCAGCCCTGCCAGCGTCCGAGCTTGAGAAAGGCTTGCGGACACGTCCCAAACCGGAGGTCCCTGAATTACTCGGGGCCAGACCCACAGAAAGATTTTCTTCCACCCGAACGCATTTTACTTTCCAAATGCGAAGTGATGCCAACACCCTCCAAATCTGCCCCCCAGCCTCTCTGGGAAGAACAGCAAAAGCAAAGACAACCAGGAGAGAAGGTGTGAACCCTGGGCAGCGGGCGGCTCCATGGGTGGGCCTGGGCTTCTGCTCCTGTCGCCCCTGGTGCTCGTCGCCTGCCCCGCAGAGGTGCCCCTGGAGCCCCAGAGGGGTGCCCTGGCTGCGGTTTATGTGGCTCTCAGTACACCGCCACCCAGCGGCACTGCCTGCCGTCTCATTCCCCGCCTCTCCCACCCAGAACCGCGCTGTGGAAGGCCTTGCACGGCCTCCTTGGAGGACTTCGCCGCCTTCCTTCCCTGCACGCCCGGGGCTGACCCCTGTTCCCAGAGCGCACGTCCCCTTCCTCCTCCGGGGACCCCGGGAGCGGGGCCCAGGCCCAGGTGAACGTCCACCTGCTCCCTGCTCATTCCAGACCACGGCGGCTGTCTGAGGCCCACAGAGGCACGGGTGAGCTGGCTGCGTTTCTGAACAAATGATCTGCCTGCCATAAAGGTGACCCTCAAGAGCTTCGTGAAATGACACATGCTGAGCTCATTCTCGACTCCTCGACTTCGCGCCCTTGGCCTTTCTCTTCGGGTGACCCGGGCGCCCTGTCGCGATTAGCTCATCCCCCTTCTCTCGGCCCCGCTGTCCCCAGAAACTCTGCAAGCCTCCCTCTCCCCGAGCTTCGATTTCCGTGTTGCTCACTCAGGTTATAATAACATTTATTCTATAAATCTGGCCCCCGAGAAACATAGGTCACCTCCACTTAAGCCAGCGTTTCTCACCCTGTGGGTGGAGACCCCTTTGGGGGTTGAACGACCCTTTCACAGGGGTCGCCTAAGATATAACAGTAGCAAAGTTACAGTTATGAAGTAGCAACGAAGATAATGTTATGGTTGGGGGTCCCCACGACAGGAGGAACTGTATTGAAGGGACACAACATCAGGAAGGTTGAGAACCACCGACAGCACTCCTTAATACAATTACTACCTCACATTTTCATGGAATGGTTGATTTTTTTTCCAAGCAGTTCTACAAACACACTTTATCCTCACACCAACCCTGTGAAATACATAAGCAATGTATCACCCTTTTCGGCATTTAGAAGCTAAGGGAGATGCCCTCCGTGAGCGAGGAAGCAAAGAAGCAGGGAGCCCATGCCGGGTCCACCCAGGTCTGCAGGTGGGGACATCCCCTCCCGTCCAGCCCAGGCACCGCCCATGCAGGGTCCACCCAGGTCCGCGGGTGGGGACATCCCCTGCTGGCTCCCCCAGGCACCGCCCATGCAGGGTCCACCCAGGTCCGCGGGTGGGGACATCCCCTCCCGTCCAGCCCAGGCACCGCCCATGCAGGGTCCACCCAGGTCCGCGGGTGGGGACATCCCCTGCCGGCTCCCCCAGGCACCGTTCTCCCCTGTGGCTTGGGACTAAGTCAGCCTCATTCTGCTTCCAGCTTCCAGAATCCCTCATGTTTTATTGAAAGCCCAGGTCCAGACATACAGAATTAACACGTCTCAGAGCCCAAGCAGGAGCCCATGTCTTCGACTCCCAGTAGATGATTCCACGTTGCTCAGTGAGGTTGTCCCTGAACTATGGGGCTGAGACCACCCAGCAACACAAGGGTGCTTCCTAAATCTGTCTTCACAAACACTTAGAAGCAAAAACTCTTGTGCCTTTTTCTCAAAATAGTAAATTGCCTAGGATGATCAAAAGATTTCACAGAAACTTTATGGAGTCAGTTGCCCTGGGCAACTTTAAAATACTCAAGTGCAAGGATTTCACCAAGTGCCTAGGGAAGTCTCTCACCCAGAAATCAATTTACAACTCTCTGCCTGAAAGGTCACTTTCGGTCAGTTCTCCGTACTGGAATGTTCTGTGCCTTGGGGGAGGTATTTACGTTATAGACGAGATGGCAATGGCAGGTGTTAGCATCCTGATCCACTGACCACACACCGGTGCGAATGGATGGAAAAGTGATGCCCGGGAGAGACCCTGAAGGTCTCAGACTGGTGGTGATGGGCTGCCAGGAACACCCTCAGCAAGATCGAAAGGAATCAGCCAAGCGGTGGAAATGCCAGGGCTTGAAGGCATCATGACCCATCTCTCCCACATTCTCCCTCCATCCCCAACCACTGCGTGAGGATTCTGAGGTGGCCACAAGAAAACACCCACCCCTGAAAACGTGGGTGCAGCCAATGCCTCCTCTCAGGGGCGCACCGCAGGCCCCGGGCAGCGCTGCCGGGACAAGGACAGGCTCCGGGGACGAGGACAGGCTCCCGGGACAAGGACAGGCTCCCCGCTGTCGCTGGGGGACAGGCCAATCCGGGAAGTGCAGTGTCTGTCCGCAGCCTCACACACTGCTCGGGCCGCAGCCTCACACGCTGCTCGGGCCTCCGGGACCCCCAGGGCTCCCACAGTTTCTGCTCCCTGCTCAGGGAGAGAGAGACTGCTCTCTGCTCTGCTGGGAGGCAGAGGCTTCATGTCCCTGCCCCTGCCTGACTGCCAACCCAGTGTTCACGCCTGGTCCAACAGCCCCGTTTCTGCAAATGTATCACATCTGTTTTCTAAAAGTTTTAACTCCATATGTGTGCTTGGGCTGCCAAGGGCTGTCTGGAAGCCACCAAAGCACCCTGGGGAGTGAGCCCCGAGGCTGGGGATGTGGGGACCGGGAGGCTGTTATTATTTGAAACATTTTTTATCTTTTATTTAAAATGGGGTGGGGGGGTCCAGGTAATTATGAAAAAGGGAGCAGAAATGACTAGAGAGCAGTACACTCCCCACCTCTCCGCCCGGATCCTCCTTCCCAAGCTGTTCCCTGACCTGCATCTCTAAGCGACAAGCAGAGGAAACAGTACAGACTCACAAGTGGCAAAAAAACAAAAAAACTTTTCTGCAAGTGAGCACAGGCGAGAAGTTCTAAGAAAGGCCGGGCTCCTCTGCTGGAGAGAAATGTCCGGAGGTCAGAGGAGCCGAGTGTGTGGGGCTGTGGGCCCCGGGACCCGACTCACCCCCCAGCCAGGTGTCGGAGACGTTCTGGAGCGTGGTGACCGGGATGCAGAAGAAGGCGATGAGCAGGTCGCTGAGCGCCAGGGAGCAGATGAAGAGGTTGGCGGCCGAGTGCATGGCCTTGCTGCGCGCCACCACGTAGACCACCAGCGCGTTGCCCGACAGCGCCAGCGCGAAGGCGAGCCCGCCGGCCAGCGCGAGGGCCAGCCTGGCGCGCGGCGGGAGCTCGGGGACCCACACCAGCGGCCGCAGCCCGTACAGCGCGACGAAGCGCTCGCGGGTCAGGTTGTGGTCCCGCAGCAGCCGGGAGAACTGCTCTGGGGTGATGTTGAGAGACGGCATTGCACCGGCTCCAGGGGCGCCGCGGTGCAGAGCGCGGAGCCTGGGGCAGGACCCTCCCACCGACCGGTTCTCCGTGCAGGCCGGCTGCTCCCGCCCTTCTGGGGAGCGCACGGCCCGCGCTGGCTCTGCCTCCTCTGCCCGCTCCTGGCTGCCGGCGGGGCGGCACCTGGCCTTCGCATTGTCGCCTCCCACCGGCGGAGGGCGCCACCCGCTCGCTCCGCCTGCGCACCTCCTAGTCCCCAGGTCATGGGACCGGTAGGGCTGGGTCCCCGTGTGTTCTACCATTTCTTCTCCTATGAAATAATGTGGCCCGCAGCTGTTTCTGTTATTTAAAAAATCATTGTCACAGAGAGGTCCCGTGTGGCCCCTACCTGGTTTCTCCCACTGGTTCCGTCTTATTAAGTATGGGACAGTACAAAACCAGGAACTTGACAGGATACAGTGTGTGTGTGGCGGGGTCTGTCATTTGATCCCAAGTGAAGATTCCCGGAGCCACAGCCAAAATCCAGGTAGAAGCCTCTCCCATGGGGAGGAGACCTCCCTTCTGCCACCCCAGCCCCTCCCCGCCTCCTCAGCCCCTCCCGTCAGCCTGTCCCCCATGCTGCTTCTGAGGGGCTGTGCACACAGTGGATAACCTCTGGGTGTCCGCTGTCTGTGCACTCAGCACAGGGCCCTTCAGATCACCCCAGTCCTCAGGTATGTCCCCCGGTCCCTGGGCCATTCACCCCAGTAGGACCTGCTGGGTGTTCCCAGTTTGGGGCTGTTTCACATAAAGCTGTGGCAGCCAGGTTTTTGTGGCATACGTTTTCATTTCTCTGGGAAATGCCAGGAAGTTTGGTTGTTGAGTCTCTGGTTTGTATATTTAGGTTTTCAAGAAATTGCCAAATTCCTTTCCAGAGCGCTGTGGCCTTTACACTTCCACCAGCGACGCGTGAGATTCAGTTTCTCCACATCCTCGCCAGCATTCCGCATCTTTTTCTATCGCTGTTCTGACTGTGCAGTGCGTTCCCACTGAGCCTCTATTTGCATTCGCCTAAAGCAATGATGTTCAGTCTCTTCTTGTGTGTTTATTCAACATTCCAGGTGTCTTGTGTGTATCTGCCCATATTCTAGGTGAGTTGTTTGGTTTATTTGCTGTTGAGTTTTTTTTATTTTATTTTGTTTTGTTTTCTTTATTGCTTTTAGAAAGAGAGGAAGGGAGAAGAGAGAGAGATAGAAACATCAATGAGAGAGAACACCGATTGGCCGCCTCCTGCATGCCCCCCACTGGGGATCGGGCCCACAACCTGGGCCTGTGTCCTGACTGGGAATCGAACTAGCAACCTCTTGGTGCAGGGTCGACGCTCAACCACTGAGCCACACCAGCCAGGCAAGATACTGCATTTTTGACAGAAACAACCATGATGATCCCGTGACACCCTGTTTGCCCCTGGATCCCAGCTGACGTTTTTTGCCTATTCAGGCTTGTTTGCATGACTATAACCTTGGGGTCGCAATAACTGCATAGTGTTAACAGTTCTATTGTGAGCAGTCAACGAGAATTCACTTAGCCCTGGCCGGTTTGGCTCAGCGGTTAGAGCATCGGCCTGCGGTCCACAGAGACCCGGGTTCGGTTCCTGCTAAGGGAATGTACTTTGATTGCAGTTTGTCCCCGGCCCTGGTTGGGTCTTGTGGGTGGCAGCCACTTGATGTGTCCCTTTCACGATATTTCTCTCTCTCTTCCTCTCTCTCCCTCCCACTGTATCTGAACAAAAAATGGAAAAATGTCCTTGGGTGAGGATTAAAAAAAGAAGAAGAAGAAAAGAATTCATGTAAACTGTTTAGCGCTGTGCCTGGCGAAAAGTGTCTGACAGAACCAGCCACTGCGATTTTCTTCTGTCAAAGCAGCAAGTGTGGATTAACACTCAGAACCCTCAGGAAATGGATTCATTTTGTTACACTTTTTTTTTTTTGGTCCCTATATGTAGTTGCTAGAGAGTACCTTTCCCTATTTCACAGTCCCCTGAGGTTCATTCTTCCAAACACAAGTTTATTTAAGGGTTTGGGCGAGAGGGACATGGCAGCCAGAGACCTTAGGGTCCTTCCGGGGACTTTCACATTTACGATGGAACCTCCTTGATGTTCGCTGGCTTGTCCACAAGTTGTTTTAATAAAACTAAGCCTTCAGCCCGGCCGGTGTGGCTCAGTGGTTGAGCGTCAACCCCTGCACCAAGAGGTCACCAGTTCGATTCCCGGTCAGGGCACATGCCCAGGTTGTGGGCCTGATCCCCAATGGGGGGAATGCAGGAGGCAGCCAATTGATGTTCTCTCTCATCAATGTTTCTCTCTCTCTCTCTAAAATCAATAAAGAAAAAAATGTAAATTAAAAAAAGTAAAACTAAGCTTTCACACAATATACTGCTGAATGAATAAGGTATGATTCAATTTGGTATGTAGCAAGTGGAGAGAGAGTAAAGGGTTCGCTGGTCATTTCTGGGTGGTGTAAGAACAGATTTCTCTTTTGGTTATTCTGTTTTGGTTGTAAGCGTTTTCTGTTTTTTCCTACAAGGAATACATGTAAATGAGGAAAATACGGTCTGCGTTTTAAAAAGCAGAGCGACCAGGAATGTCAAGGTCTAGAACGTGTACTGGATGGGAACACGCGTGGAACATACTTGTTTAAAGGTCCTAGCCCAGAGGTTTGGTGGACAGGAATCACAGCTCCGCCTTAGGAGAGAGACCATGAGAACACCCACCTCGCAGTCCCCACACACACCGTCCCCGGGATGCCACGTAACGCGTCAGGAGTACGAGGACAATGGAGAGACGCCGTAAATCTGGGGGCCGGGGCTGCTGGCCTCCACGTGAAAGAACAGGAACCACATTCCCCAGAAGTCTCGGGCTTCCAGGGACTCCGGACGCCCCAGGCAGATCCGGAATGACTGAGGGCAGTTCAGGTGATGCTCAGAGAGCCCCAGCCCGGAGGAGGACTGAGTCCGCTGGGTGAGGGGTGTGAGAGGGGCGTGCGGGGGTGAGGGGAGGAGCCTGGGCGGAGGCTGGACAGTGCTGGCCAGAGCAGCTGGGAGGAGGGGTGCCCAGTGACGTCCTGAGAAACCACTGTGTACCCACTTACAGGTGTGCCCTGTTTCTAGGTGGTTTTTCAATGTTTTACTAAAAAGGATCTGGCCCCTTTAATGAAGGAGCAAACTGCCAGCCACGCTTGGTACAAACAAAATCCCAGGTGCGTGTGTCTGTGATTCATCACAAAGCCCAGCTCCAGGCCAGCAGGCTGCCGGACCTCAGCCTCAGGTGGCCCCTGGGATGTCAGGCGGGAGAAGACCAGTGCGCAGACACACACCACAGCCCCGGGGCAGAGAAGGTCCCCTCAGCCTCAGGTGGCCCCTGGGTTGTCAGGCGGGAGAAGACCAGTGCGCAGACACACACCACAGCCCCGGGGCAGAGAAGGTCCCCTCAGCCTCAGGTGGCCCCTGGGTTGTCAGGCTGAAAAAAGACCAGTGCGCAGACACACACCACAGCCCCGGGGCAGAGAAGGGCCCCAGGACACGTCGCAGGGTCTGTGGTAACGGGAAAATATGGGCCAGGTGGGCACATTGTTTCTGAGAGGCCTGTCGACAGGCCTGGGGCCACAAGAGCATCTGTGTGTGTCCATCTGTGTGTGTCCATCTGTGTGTGTCCACGAGAGCATCTGTGTGTGTCCACGGGAGCATCTGTGTGTGTCCATCTGTGTGTGTCCATCTGTGTGTGTCCACGGGAGCATCTGTGTGTATCCATCTGTGTGTGTCCACGAGAGAATCTGTGTGTGTCCATCTGTGTGTGTTCATCTGTGTGTATCCACGGGAGCATCTGTGTGTGTCCATCTGTGTGTGTCCATATGTGTGTGTCCACGAGAGCATCTGTGTGTGTCCACGGGAGCATCTGTGTGTGTCCATCTGTGTGTGTCCATGAGAGAATATGTGTGTGTCCATCTGTGTGTGTTCATCTGTGTGTGTCCACGGGAGCATCTGTGTGTGTCCATCTGTGTGTGTCCACATGTGTGTGTCCATCTGTGTGTGTCCATGAGAGCATCTGTGTGTGTCCATCTGTGTGTGTCCATCTGTGTGTGTCCACGAGACCTGGAGGCAGGTGGCAGTCCTGGCTGGGGCTGGACTTAGGGGCGTGGACTGCACACTCCCGGGGTGGAAGGTCAGCCTGTTCAGAGGCTGGGACAGAAAGGCAGGGACAGACACAGTTGTTGAGACAGGTTTAGGGGGCGTGCTCACAGGTGCGCGGCAGCCCCGTACGAGTGGGCTGCGGCCAGCTGCGGTGGGGTCTGTTTCTTCTCAGCCTTGACCGACCGCAGGGCGTGGAGCCCCACGCAAATGGCCAGGTCACCATCGGCAGCTGCAGGTCAGTGCTGGACCTGGAGGCCCGAGGGCCCCCGTCAGTCCGCCCGCAGGTCATTACCAGGCAGCGGAGGCAGAATCCAAGCAGGAGCCGCCAGAGGCTTGCCGGGAGCCCCGGGCTGGGAGGCCCCCCTCCGGCTGCAGCTCAGGAGGGAAGTAGCCTCTCCCTCTGGGTCTTGTGGGCCCATCAGCACCTGGTTTCTGTGCTGTGCTGGGGTCAAGAGAGTCCACGGGGTGAATGAGGAACGTTGGGAAGACAGCACGGGGTCCAGACCGCTGCCCAAGGAGCTCTGCTGGCTTGTTTGTTTGGGGGGAAGAATCATTCGTTGAAGAGAACGAGAGGCAAGGTGATCATAGTAGCAAGACGGTCGGCCATGGACATTGTCAGTGTTAACAAACGGTTTTAAGCTCCGGTCCCTGGTACACAGCGAGTCTCCAACCTCAGGAACAGAAGCCTTGGGCAGAGAGGTCTGTTCCCAGACCAGAGCAGTAACACACGGAACTAGACGGAGCAGGGACGGGCCGGAGCCGGCGATGGTTTGGCAACGCTGCCTCTCGGCGAGTTTGTGTGCAGGGGACACTCCGCCCCGCCACACCCTTTCCAGCTGAAGAGGAAAA